GCCGGGGCGGGGGCGGGGTGCCTTCGGAACAAGTGTTTCGGCTTTCGGTCGACGGAGCGGCGACCCGCGAGTACGCTTCGTGGGCGCCCGACGAGGGTGGTGCTGCTGTCGCTCTGCCGCGTGCGCAGGCGTGCGCAGGCGTGCCGAGGTCTCGCGACGGCACTCAGCCCTTCGCTGGGCGTGTGGGACGCCGGGTACGACGAGCACGGCTTCTGGTCCGTCGAGGCTGCCCGCGCGGCGCGCGACGCGGCGGCGGCGCTTGCGCTGGACGCCGCCGACGGCGGCGCGGGGGCGGCGCGGGGGCGGCAGGCGCGGGGGCGGCAGCCGGCCCAGCGGGTCGCGGCCCTCCGCCCCCGCGGCGTCGTTGGAGGGCGAGCACCTCGAGTACCTACGGCGGCGGGGTGCGCCGTGGGGCGAGCCGCCCGTCGCGGGCGCCGCCGCGCCGCCGGAAGGGGCGAGGCGGCGAGCGAGGATCGTCGACTTTTGGCCGGGGGGCGCTCTCGACACTTACCGGCTGAGGTCACGTCGTCGGGCGCGTCGACGGGCTGGTTGGCCATGGTCCGCACGGCGGGGCGGCTGCGCCGCCAGGACTCGCGCGTCGCTGCACGCGGCCTGCAGAAGGAATGACAGCTCGGCGGCAAGGCTTTTCTTGCGCCGGGACGGCTAGGCTTTTTGTGAGACGCCGCTCGCGGAAATCGAGGAAGGCTTGGACTTTTCTTTTCTTGGGAAACGGGAGTGTTGGTTTAGAAGAGGCTGGCCAGCGACTGGACACACCGGCATGGGGGGACGCAAGCAAGGACGGGGATTGGAGGTTGTATAGAGAGATTTAACTTTTAACCATTTTTAAGCACAGCTCGAGCGGTCGAGGCGAAATAAAATTAGAAAGAAATGTACTCCCTCCCTCCCTCCCTCTCTCTCTCTCTCTCTCTCTCTCTCTCTCTCTCTCTCTCTCTCTCTCTCTCTCTCTCTCTCTCTCTCTCTCTCTAAACCGTCTCACTCAAAATCTCTCTCTTTCTATCTCGGCTCTCTCTCTCTCTCTCTCTCTCTCTCTCTCTCTCTCTCTCTCTCTCTCTCTCTGTCTCTGTCTCTCTCTCTCTCATGTCTCAAAATCTCTCTCTCAGAAGCGGAGCACACACGAAGATCGAAGTCGGCACAACAAAAATCCCCTTTGCAGCCAAGCCTACAGGGCACCTAATTTTTATTCACGCGGCGAGGGCGGTCGCCGTCCTCGCAGGAGTCGCTTAGGCTATCCCTTAGGCGGCTCCCGTGGTGTACCTGTGTTAGTGCCAGTGCGCGCCAGTCCCGTGCCCAGTGTCGTGCGAGGCAGTTTTTGGAAAAATTCTTCTTCAGGCGGCTCCGGTGGTGAGCCGGTGTGTGTGCCAGTCCGCGCCAGTCCGCGCCCTTGTCGTGCCAGTGTGCTGTCAGTCTGCGCCCTGGAAGAATTCTTCTTCCGGCTCCGGTGGTG